TTCTACTATTTTCACAAGAAAAGTGGCTCATTAGTAACCACATCAGAAGTAATGAAGTGTTTCCTTTTATAAATAGCAATTAGACTATGTGGTAATATATAGGGGAGAATTATTAAAATGTGATATGGCATAATAAGGTTGCTTTTCAGAAAACCAACTCTAAATATAAAATTTTTGGTGAGGATGTTTATCCTTTTTCATTTCTTAAATTTTCACAGAACAATTTTCAAGGTAATAAAAGTGTTTTAGCTATTGGACAGAAATATAATCAGTCAAAGATTACTTTGTGTTCTTAGGGAAAAGCTGACCTTAGATAGAATAGATACTTCTTTGTGTGCACATTTGGCAGAGGTGCACAACCTTAGCCTCTGAGGCTCCATGCAGCCCTTGGAATCTTTCCAAAAACTACCATCAAATTACCAATCTTAATATGAAAGAAGGGAAAGTAATTAAATATCTTGCTGCTTTAAAATTAGTTGAAGCTTAATTAAATCACACTTAGTTTTTAACCTAGCTAACCCATGCTAATTATTGTCTTTTTAGAATCTGGTCATCAACATGACACCAACAGACGAAGCTGTTCACTAATCCAAACAAAATTTCACAACATTGTATTAAAACATCTATGGGGCATTTTTAGGAAACACTGCAACAAGGCTTCTGGGATTGCTTTCCTTGACATTAATCCCGCTGAATATAATTCAGCCAATAAATTACACCACGCCTCTGTTTGAGAAGGCTTCCAGAACAGTTTCCAAAGTAACACAAGCAAACATAAGAAAATAAAATGTAAGTCCAGAAAGTTCATTGACATTACTTGAGAAATGAATAAAAGATTAGATTAAAAACAAATAGATTAGAAAAGATTAGATTAAAAACAAATATTCAGGTTATAGTTAATGCAAAGATGTTCCTTATCACCTGGATTTGGCTTGTATAAATTAATTTGCTCTTTGTGTGAATTCCTTTATAGATTTGCAAGGCAATTCCAGTTCTCTATTTAATACTTAATACTGGATGCCCATAATTCGTTTCCTCACTAATTCAATACTGATTAATATGACATTCTAACTCCCTATTTGCCACTGCTAACCCCCTGACACCACTTGGTGATTTTTTTTTTCCAGCATTTGTGCAGCTTGGTTGCAAGTTCATAGTTTTGCACTTCCTATGGCAAAACTATCAGTAAATATGAAGACATCATTTGTATACAGTCCCACCTACATATCAGAAGAAGTGACTTCAGAGATTTGCAACCAAAAATATTATAAAGCAATTAGAATATTAAGGGTATATTTACATTCCCATGTATATGGTTCCTAAAAACATGTTTAATCCTTCATTGCTTTCTTTCAGTATCATACAACTAATTTTTAAATAAGGCAGCAGAATTCTGCTTAGTTTATTTTCAAAGCCTTTGTCACACAGATAAAATTTAGACAGCGATATAAAAATCTATTGTAGTTGTGTATATAATATACTGTATATATTAGAATGTTGAGAATTCTAATATATAGAATTATTAAATATCTTAGATAGTAGAATCATTAAATATCTTAGAACAATCATTCATAATCCTATTTCAGTCCAGACAGTAAAATAATGAGATCATTGCACCTTCTCTCATACTGCCTGCTGAACAGATCATACTGAAATCTGGAAGTTAGCTGAGGAGCGGTGGGGAGGTGAGGTGAGGAGAAGAGAGGAAGAAATTTCTTATTTGATTTTTTTAACTCAGGCCATGTCCAAAAGGAAAATTTCCAGAAAGGAAGAAGGCAAGAGATGATTGAAAGAGTCCTCTTGTCTGATATTCTCCCCTCACCAATGGTAGTGGGAGATAATTCTCCCATTTCCTGGAGATGGGCTGAGCAATAAGGAAAGCAAAGCCAGAAAATCCAACCAATTCAGTTTTAGATAGACCATCTATGTATAATCCAGATAATCTCATTCCACCATGGCTCAGAACAAGAGCAACAGAGACAGGATAGGGATTGGAAATGGGGACAGCAAATGTCGTGGCATTATTGTTTTCTGTGAACTCAAGGACCTGTGGAGAGCAATTTAACTCACTGTAGCAAAATCCCTGCCATCAGCCATTATGACAGTAACACACAACCATTTCCATTAGTTAATGTAGAGAAATGTTTGATTCCTAAGCCCTAGTTATTCCACTGCAATCAATGTCCTGTTCAAATGCTTACATATTTCTTCTTTGTTAACTATATATCTAGAAGAGATAAAAGCAGCGAACAACCCCTAGTTCTGATGAGAATTCATTATGTTAGTCCTTTGCATTGTTTAATACTGCCATCTCTGCTCTATTCCTCCCCTGCAGCCCAGAAATGACTGATCTCAAATGATGAGAGATATTCTTGTTTGAAAATAAAGGATTTTCCAAAATCTATGATCTGTTCTGATCTCCTACCATCTATTGAAGGTACGAGAACAGAAAATAGTCTGCTATTCAATGTCCTCTTTTGACTGCTCTCCTGTATTCCTCAAGGGCAGCAACTGCAAGGTTAGGTTTCTTCTTCAAATAAAATGAGTGCAATTGTGGACTTTTCAAATGCACTTTTTAGATAGGGTGCTATTAAAACGTGTTGATCTAGCCTAAAAGTGGCAGCTCTGAGCAGGCCTTGAAAGTGTTATTTAACTTAATGTGTACTTTTGTCTTGAATGTGGTAGATAGGTCAAAGCTTTTTTTAGGAGCATCTGTTTCTCCCTCAGTCTGACAGGTATTCGTGAATACAAGATTGAAGGTTCATGCTGGAAACTTGGGAGCACTAGAAATACCCAAGGTGATTAAACTGCATAGTCACAGTTGCAAGCTGCCAGTTAAAGAAGGAATAAAAATCATAGGGAGTCAGGGGAGATAGACAAGACAGTATGATGGGTAATACATAAAGCCTAGGTGAGGCTGTGGGGCATCTGCTGGTTCTGATCCAGCACCAGCAAATTGGAGTGGAAAGAAAAATTACAATCAAGCTGAAGCAATTAGATAATACACTTGGAGTCATGTTTTGCCATGTAATTTTGGGAACTACCATCTTTGGGGTTGCACTGCCCCCCAGACAGGCTTGGTGTATAATCAGGGGAATCTCCTGAATTTGTGATTTCTGCTTGAGAAGCAGATGGCAGGAATGCCAGGGTGGGGGGACTTTGCACAATGTTTGTCATGCATCGGTTACACCCATTCCTAGACCAATAGGCCTTTCTATCAGGCCCAAGCCCAGAGATGAGAAAGCAAAGTCCAATCAAGTCCAATCCTCTATTTGCTTACATCTAATAGAACCTTGCCAAACTAAAGCTATCAACATCTAACACTACTAGATATATCCTGAGAGCCTCTAGGAAGTGGGTACCCTGAGTCTCCCCGTCCTCCATTCAATTTGGGAGGGCTCAATCTCTTAATCCAGATTCTCTCTGGGAAAATTCTCTGTTGCCAAAAGTCTCCCCACTGCTCCTCTAGGTGCACATTCCATCACACTCTTCCATGGCCTGGTCATCTCCTGTTTGGACTTTTCAGGGGTGGGTTGTTAGGGGTTTGCAGGGGTTTGAGAGAGCCCTTAGCTAAGTTTCTGTGCAGTTCTGAGAACCCCCAAATCCTACTCTTGGCTGGCCCCGCCTAACCCTCCCACCCCTCCCAGGAGTCCCCACACATCCCATTTTGGACGCAGGTAAGTGCAGGGCATGTGCAAAGGCTTGGGGAGGGTGAAAAACAGGCCTCCTGGAAGTTCGGGAAGGCTGGAAATGGGCCCGTTTCTGGCTCCCAAAGAGTGTCTAGAGCCTGGGAAGGCCATTTTGGAAAAGTAAAAACGCCCCCCCCCCCCTGCTGTGGTGCAGGAGGCCGACTAGGCCACACCCACCCAGCAACCGGGCAGAGATTCCTTTTCTAAAATTTTTGAAGCCCACCCCTGGGACTATTGTAATGTTCCCTACATGGGACTGCCTTGAAGAGTATCTAAAAAGCTTCAGTTACTCAAAATGCAGCAGCCTGCATAGTTTTGCGCAAGCCTGAATTTGTGTCATCTCTTCTGCAGGCGCTGCTTTGGATACCAATATGCTTTTGGATGCAATTCAAGGTGCTGGCTATCACCTTTAAAGTTCTACATAGCTTAGAGCCAGCTTATTTGAAAGACTGCCTCTCCTCAGTTCATCTATCCAGCCCACCAGAGCAGAGAGGAAGGGCATGTGGCAGGTCCCCATCTGTTAAAGAAATATACCTGTTAGGACCAAGAAAAAGGCACATCTTTGCCATGGGGGTGGGGGGAGAAGGGGGATCGGGGTTTTAAATTGTGATTATTTATTTCTGTATGCCCTGCAGAGTCACTGTTGTGAATTGGGAAATCATATAAATATGTTTAATAAATAAATAAGAAAAACAATTGATAAAATTGGACAATAGTTTCTGCAGAAAAAGATAAACAGTCTACAATCATTCCAGAAGGAGATACTGGTTGTTTCCCACTTCTGTAATTTGTGTGAATATGTGTGCGTGTGCGTGTGCGTGTGCGTGTGTGTGTGTAGAGAGAGAGGGAGAGAGGGCAAGACTGGGAGGCATTATTTCATGATTATATGGTCCCCCTCCTTACAAATGAATTGGCTTCTTCCCTAATGTCAGACGAAATTCTTCCAAACAGCATTTGGTGGTGGTGATGATAATAATGATGATAATTTTACCATCTTTATTCTTTTTACTGTTATGGTTGTCATAAGAATGGTTGTTAATATTCTGTCAATTGCTGTAAGTTTAATTCATCTAATGTACTGTATTATCAATAGATGCTTTAATTTTATTTGTATTGTGAATGTTCTAATTATCAGTTTTAAATTCAAAGTATGGAAATGTAGTAAACAAATAAACAAAATAAACAAAATTAAATAATGAAACAGCTACTTTCAGACATTTTTCTCCTCTCACACTGCAGCTTGCAGACGATCAGTCTGTGACACAACCAAGCAGAGAAACAGAGCCAGCAGAGAGCAGCATTTGATCTTACTTTCAGTTGTACCAAATGCACATCCACGTGTTTGCTGTCCAGGTCCTGCTGCACGGAGTAAGTCAAATCCCGGACTCTTTCTGATGTCATCCGAAGCCATGTCTCAATCTCAGGCAAGTGGAGAACAATCTTCCAGTCTGCAACTGTGTGGAGAGGGGGAGGCTTTTCATATTGTTGCTCAGGATCAAAATCTTCCCTACCATCTTGCTCGGTTGTAGGAGTCGTATTGATGATCATGGGGGATACATCGGTAGGAACAGCATTCGGTTCTTGTGGAAGGATGGGGGAAAGTGCTACTTCCATGGTTGATGTCAGAAGTTCTAGATCATGCTTTTTGCCAAAGCAGCTGCCCATGTGGAAGAGGAAAAAGGCAAATAGTTAAAAAAAAAACCAGAACTTGGAATAAAACATCCAACAGTTCATAACAATAGAAATACTGCATGTTTTAGGCATATATTGAATGTTGCCTGATGGTTAACAGCACTGGAAGCAGGATGAACTTGTTTGCAATTAACCAAATTAAAATTCTGTCTAAGCATACCCAAATTCAAATCTAAACAATTGTCACATGTATGTGTCAGAAGTTTAATAGCAGAACAGACTTAGCGTCGTTTGGTTTTAATTCTTATGGTTAGGATGATGGACAGCAACCCCAAATGATGGTGTATTAATCATAATCAATTAATCAACAGCCTCCAGTTTCTAAAACTACGCTATTCAAGGTTTACTTATATACTTGAAACTATATCTTCAAAAGAGGTAGAAATTAGCAGAAAAAAAAGAGTTAATGAAAGTTAAGCTCATTTAACAATTCTTAATCAATAATTAATAATGATTATTGCTTGCATGGACACTGAAAATGTAAATAATCTAAGGAATTAAAGAACCAAAATGCAGTATTAAAATGTTTGTACAGGTAGTCCTTGATTTCCGACCACAAATTGAGCCCAAAATTTCTGTTGCTAAGCAAGACATTTGTTAAGTGAATTTTGCCCTATTTTACAACATTTCTTTCCACAGTTGTAAAGTGAATCACTGCAGCTGTTAAGTTAGTAATATGGTTTTGAAGTGTCACTAAATAACAGTCACTAAATGAACTGTTGTAAGTTAAGGACTACCTGTGGTTTATTTTCCAAAGCCAAAATTTAGCCTGCAGCTTAGCAAAGCATATAAGAAGAGTTCTGATGGATCAAACATGAAGCTTTCACAAGAGAAGCCTCTTGCTTCTCACAACTGTAAGCCAAATGTACAACTGTTGCATCAAATTAGTGCAATTCAAGGTGCTGGTTGTCACTTTTAAAGCATCTTTAAAGCACCTTTAAAATATCTGCCCAACCCATCAGAGCGGAGAGGCAGGGAATGCTGTAGGTCCTATCCCTGAGGGAGATATACCCAGTGGGACCCAGAAGAAGGGCCTTCTCCATGGTGGCTCCCTCTCTCTGGAACATCATCTCCCCCCCCCAGAGATTAGAATGGCCCTCTCTCTAATACTCTTCCAGAAGGCACTGAAGACCTAGTTTTGCCAGCGCACCTGGGGAACCCAGAGCAGGATGGACCCTGCTTTTCATGTGGTCTGCTGTCCTCGGGGCAGGGGGAGGGGGTGGGAGTGATTTATTTATTTCCAGATTTTGTTCTATTGTACTTTAGTAATTTATTTGATTCTTTTTGTTAGTTTTTATTGTTTTTTATTTTAAATATGGTTTTTCATTCTGTAAACTACCTCGAGTCGCCATGGGCGAATAGGAGGCAATATAAATTCAATAAATAAAATAAAATAAATAAAATATCCCAGGTTAATCAGTAGCACCTCCAATAAGAAAGATCAGCTGATAAATTATTAAAAAGATCTTTCTTTGCCTGAGATCCTGGACAGACATTACTGAACCAAATGTAATTGATATAAGAAGTTTCACACCAATAGCTTTTTTAAAAAAGAATTTTATTTCTCATATTAGGGAATTTTAATCTCTGCCTATTTAGCAAAAATGGAATATACTGATTATTATTAAACTGGAGAAAAAAATCTTGTTTGCTTTCGCTACCAATATTTTACACTGCAAATAATTGACAGACACAAAATGTGTATATACAATTACAATGACAAGTAATTTCTTATAACTATTTTATTGTATAATCAGTTTTGATACTTGGGTTTGAGAAGATACTCCCATTATTATTTGTTCTGCTTCCCAAATGCCAGGAGTTGATAAAATAGGCAATAATTAAATAAAGAAGCACAAAAGCAGGGAGGACAGAAAGAAAACTAAATTAAAGCATACCTGCACCTTGTAAGTAATCTGCCCTGAACTCAATTATGCAGATCAGACAACATTTATTCTTATAATGAAAGAAAAATGGGGGTGAACATTGCTCCCCACAATCTCACATGTGCCTGCAACTCCCCAATATCACTGCTTATTTATCAGGCAAAGTAAATATTTTCCTAACAGCATATTTTTAAAAATGTTCACTGAGATACAGTTCTAGCTGCTGTACACAATATTAAATAAAAAGCAAGTAACTGTTCAACAGGTGTATTCAGACATGTTATGTGGAGAAATTATTATGATTATTTTGCATAAGAAATTACTATAATGGCTATGATTATTATTATTATGCCTAATTTATTATGAAGCTGCTTAGCAGAATCAAAACCCATTTGACTGTCACCTAACTACAAAAGGAAAAACAGAGGCCGCTGTACCCTTCTAGATTTATGGTTATTCTTCAACCTAAGCTAGGAAAACCTCCTTATTTTTCTCTCTTTGTATCCGCAAGAATTCTGCTTGTCAAAGCAAGACAACTAACATGATCTCTGCATCAACCAATTAAAAACATGCTAGAGAGATAGCTGACTTGTGAACTATTTTTGGAAAGAATCAAGGTCTTGCAGAGAGCAAGTCAGATAAATAATTAAAACATCACCAAAGACTTTCTAAAAGGGGGGAGTTTTTTCCAACAAAGCTAACAAATGTTCACTGAGATACAGTCCTAGCTGCTGTATACAATATTAAATACAAAGCAAGTAACTGTTCAACAGGTGTATTCAGTCCTTTCTGCAATCTACCTAATGCATTATTATCTCTAGCCGCTAAATGGATTGAACGATCCACACTGCTTAGCTAAAAAGCTTCTTGCTCTAAATTAGAAGTTTGTTGATTGGATTCAGCATTTGCTAAAAGGCAATCTTAAAATGTATCTATATATCATATATTTGAAGTATTGTTGAACTCTGGACATTTTCACAATAACACCAATGAGCACGAATAGGGCAAATTATCACCCCATTACAGTAAGAAAAGTGAAATGAAAACTTTATAAGGTGGTGGTGTGGGTTTTCTGTGTCACCTAAAGGCCTGTACGGATGAAGCATATTGATATTTATATAGAGCAGCTTTGAAAGCCACACAGAAAGACAAACATAAAAGAAAAAAAATACTGATTCTTATAAATTGGTGGGATTTCTCCATCTTATTTCATAATTCAGTGAAACCTCGGTTCCCATCATTAATTGGTTCCAGGAAACGTGGTGAGGTCCAAAAATGATGAGTACCAAACAAAATTTTCCCCTTAAGAAATTATGTGCTGAGTCACAAGGCAGCCAATACCAACAAGTTCCACCTTGTGCATTGAGTACCAAACCAATGATGAGTACTGGGACAAAATGTTCATAACAAATGCATTGAGCACCAAATCTGATGAGTTTCGAAGCAACTGAGTACCAAGGTACAACTGTATGCATAAAATAAAATAAAAACATTTTATAGGTATATTCCATGCCTTCAATAGAACTGAATTATCTACCAATTGAGATCAATAGACAAATCAATTGAGCTAGATCAATTCCCAAGGAGGACCTATTAAGACAGCCCACAGAAACAGAATAACAGCTACAGCACACAACTCAAAGCTCTCAAGAGCCTCGGTAGCGCAGTGGTTAGAGTACAGTACTGCAAACTACTTCTGCTGACAGCCAACTGCCTGCAATTTGGCAGATTGAATCCCACCAGGCTCAAGGTTGACTCAGCCTTCCATCCTTCTGAAGTGGGTAAAATGAGGACCCAGATTGTTTCGGGCAATAGGCTGACTCTGTAAACTGCTTAGAGAGAGCTGTAAAGCACTATAAAGCGGTATATAAGTACTATTGCTATTGCTAAATGACTTATTAACAAATTATAGCCCTTACTGGAAAATGACAATGCTCTTTATCAGGTACAGACAACCTGAAGCAGATTCTCACAAGCAACAAGCATAGGACAGTCAAGCCAACATCAGAACCAGATCCTGTACAAAGATGTATGCCTTGCCTCCACATCTACACTAACAGGACCATCAGGGGCCTAACAATCACACACAAGGTTAGATTTTCCAATACAATATATGTCATCATTTGGTAGCATTTGCCTCTCTGGATACGTAGGATAAATTGAATAAAGTTTGCACAAAAACATTGGATACAAATTTGACCTCAGGACTTGAAACAAAGCCAACTTAATAACAGAGCTTTTAACCTCCCAGGCCAATCCGCAGCTGACTTCAAAGTGACTATTTTTAGAAAAACAGGACATTAATGGCACCATCAAGCAGAAAATTGTTGATCTTCCATATATTAAAGGTTTTAGGCAATTTCAGAAGGTCTCAACAAACATAATAGGTTTTAAACATATTGCAATTGTTAATTGATAAAATACTTGTAATTTATGCCACATGTAACTTGCATCTATATAACCAATCTATCTTCTTTTCCCCCTCCACCCAAATTTCAATCCTACATCTTCAGTTTAACTTCTGTGCATCAGATGAAGTGAGAGGCAGCTCATGAAAAATTATGTCTTTTAATAAAATTTGTAAATCAGAAAAGATTCCAGGGTTTGCTTTTTGCCACTATAGACTAACAAGGGTCTCCTCTACAATGTGTACCAAAAGAGAAAATGTCATGTGCTTTCCCATTATTTTTTTTTGCAAATCTAACCTAGTGCAATGCATCCCTCTACCAGACATGAAAATTATTTCATTTTATTTAGTACAAAGCTTTTAACAACAAACACTTAAAAAGCAGTCCATTAAACATGCTCATTTAATTAATTTTAAATAGCATCCTGTAATGGCCAAGGCCAGAGAAAACTATTTTTGTTTTGTTCTTATCACTCCCTCACTGATTCATCACACAACAAAATCTAAAACTTTCCTTTCCAAAAGTTAAAAGTAGCTAAACTGGATAATTGAATACTAAAAAAGAGAATTGTAAGTTATATCTATATACAGTATATATAAAAGCGAAATAGCACTCACGCATCATCACAAAATCTCCAGAACTGTAAAGCTTACAAACTTGAAATTCGGCAC